AATTCCCCCTTAAAATGATGTCATTTTAATATTTGGTTAAAATTCGCTCTAATTCACTGCCTCGTTTCACAGACAGAAAACCTGAAAACCGACAAGCCATTGCCAATATCACGATCGACTGATTACTTCGCATTGGGATACAAAGAATCGAACAAAGTACCACCAGGAAGAGTGTCTTTGTTGCAAGCCATTAATTTCATCACAAAGCATCAGCAACAACCAGAAGTATGGACTATCGAAAAGATAGCGGAAGAGAATAAAATCAAGCCCGAAGTCGCAAGTATGTATACATACATCTCATGAGATGGAACTTGTTAGTTCAAACTCAAAATAATGTAATTCAAACTCATTCGATTCATTTCTGTTCTTTCAAATAGAGGACATCATTGACCATTTCCGTGCGTTTGAGGTTCACATGTCGAAGAATGTTGAGCAAAGGGAGGTGCAACAGATTCAAGCCAATTTGAAATTGCTTGGCGCAAAGAGCAAAGACAAATAAACAGTATGTGATACTGCTAAGCATTGACACATTGTAATTAGCCCGAGTCGAACTTAGAATTACTTAGAGCATGTTGTTTGATTAAAAAAAAAAGCAATAAATTTAAGTAACAACTCAAATACGGTTTTTCATTCACCAAGTTCAATGTTATTCAAATGTCAATTCTCTCATCGGACATTCGCAAAGACAGTAGAGGTTTGAGTGCGTTAAACGCAGTTCCCATTGACATTTTCGGTGCAGCGAGGTAAACATTGATTTTCATGCTGTTATTCAACAGCCGACGGTGTTTTAGTGCCAGAAATGTAATTTTGTGATTCATGAAAAGGAAATTGAATTGAAACACCATGGGAAAATCAATGTCAACGGCAAAACAAGTGAAGCGAAGCGCAATCACAAAGTAAATTGCACAAACAACAGTTCAAGCACAACCTAACCAAACAATGGTTCACAGAGGTACCTTAAACTAATTGACAATCAGTTGGATTTGGTTTTTGATTTTGATTTAAATTTTGCAGCCACCCCGATGCCATCTCTTCCCACTGCCGAATATCTAAAGAAGACGAACAATTTAGATAAATCATACAATGACCGTTTGAAACAGGTTTTTGTCACTTCAGTCGATGATGTAAGTCAATGAAAATGAGTGGGAAAATCGAAATTTCAACTAAAACAAAGCAATTTTGACTAATTTCACTGATTCAATTTCAGAATACCAATTTAGATTTGACAAAAGGACGTTCGATGCCAAAGGATCGCACCACACCATTCACGAAAAGTCCACACTCTCAAACGACAGATCAACCGCAACCAAATAAATTAATCGTTGATGAAATAAAAGTGATACTTCTGAATCACAAAACGAATCCAGACAAATGGACACCTGATTACATTGCAGCGAGATATAATATTTCGACAGAGATTGCAGGTAATTGGTCATGATTTGATTTACATATGGATGTGTCTGAATTTTGATGAATTATTTCAATTCTAGGAATCTTGGTCGAGAACTATGGCACACTTCAGACATATTTTGGTGGCCAACCGAACGAATCAGACAAATACATTCACCACGAGGAACCAGTCAGACGAGTCACAGCAAATACACACTTCTATGAGATGGAAGAGATTGTAACTGGTGGTCGGAAAGAAAAGAAATGGAAAACAAAAGAAGAATTCGATAAAGAATGGATGGGCAAAAAATGATGAATGA